TTAGTGAACCTCAGGGCATCCATGTCTCCTGATGCATGTTAGGACTCAAGGCCAGCAGATGCATCAGCAACCACTAAAGCTGCATGTTCTTTTGCCCAAGTGCTGGAATGCCCACATGTTTGGTTAAGGATTATTCTGGGTGTGTCCCTGACAGTTTCTGGATATTTAACCCGGACCCAGTAAAGAAATTGCTCTTTCTGGTGGGTGGGGGTCAATCCAATGAAGGAGGCCAAGAATTACTCTCTCTGCCTGTCTGTCTGTCTCTGAGCTGGAGTATCCATCTGTCTCCAGCATCTGAGTCAGACTCCAATGCGTGTGTACAATGTTGGCTCTCCTGGGTCTCTGGATAACCAACTGCAGATCTTGTGACATTCCAGACTCTGCAATAACACGTGCCAATTTTCTATTGATCACATGCACGCAGTACTGTATCCCTTAATGATGGAAACATGTTCTGACAGATACACCATCAGTCCACTTCATCCCCATGAGAACATCACATGAGTGCACTTACACAGAACCGTTTGGTAATAGGCCCATCCCTGGATAGGTTCTCCATGAAACCAAGAGACATGGGAGACACGAGGTCCACAGAACTGCTGTCTGTAATAGCTGAGGCTCAGTGGTAGAGCATTAGAGCTACCATGCATGAGTACCTAGCATGCATGAGTCCTAAGTTCAACCCCCACTACTAGGGGAAAAGAAAGCAGTCCTGATCCTGACTTCATATGCCACTGGTAGACAGTGCAGTAAGTCAGTTTACACTTCCAGTGCCATTAAAAAAAAAAAATGTGCTCAGTGTTGCAATGTCCCTGGCTGACAGGAATTTCCAGGTCCCTTATAATGTTCTTTCCTTAGACAAGGTCCCACAGTACAACTCAGGCTGGCCTGGAAGTTGGCTCAGCTGAGACTCGTGACAATGCCTCAGCCTCTCCACTATAACCAGCCACCATCATCTGTCCGCCACTCACAGAAAGCTAGTATGCAGTGGATGGCCGTGCACTTTTCTTCTGTTTGTCTTGAGAACTCTGTCTGATTCATGCCCCTTCCTGCCTGCGCTGTCTGGCTCTGAATTCAAATCATAGCCCTTGAGCCATAGAAGGGAAATTGCCATCAAGTCTTAACCAGCCCAGGGTGGTATACCCCAGAGAGGAAATACCCTGATTCCCCCTCCCCCACTTTCAGTGTCAAGGATCCTGCATTACCAGGAGACAGGGGTCAGGAAGAATCTCTGGAGCTAGGTGAGTGATGCTAGGGACTCCAGAGAGCCTGACCGTACCTCTCATCAACCCCCACCGCTCTGTCTGAAGCTGGGGTGGGGGTGGGCCATAGAAATGTCCTAGCTACCTGCAGGCTCTCCTCAGCCCCCAGATGTTCAGAGCCGTCTGAATGCTGCTACTACTCAGCGCCTCTCTAATAAACAGGTGTTGGGAGAAGAAGAGCAGTAATTAAGTTAATGCAGTGGAGAAAAGAAAGGAAAATGGTTTTTATCAGTCGATGTCACACGATCAAGACTTCTAATAAAGATGGAGTGGGGTAGAAAAAGACAGAGAATGGTCCCTTGTAGAGCCAAACCAATTAAACCGTATCCATTACGCTTCGGATTTTTAAACGCCCTCATATGCATCCCTTACAGGAGGACTTTAAGGAGGATTTGGAAGTGAATACTCTTCTTTCATGGCCTGCTGTCCTCCGGCCGTGCCATTTAAAAGCACGGACACCCAAGGGCAAAGCGAAAGGCAATTCACCCCAGTTCAACCACTTGAGCCCCACATGAAGTCATGTATTAACAGATAACTTGGGTTTGATTTTTTTTCTTTAATTACGTGTGTCATCTAAGCTTTCACATTGCAGTGATGGGTGTTTACCTCGGTGATTTCTAACATGTAACACTTTCTCCTCTATTCAGACACACAAGTGTAAGCGCTTTTCAACTTCTTTGTTCTTAGATAAAAAGAAAATTGATCTTTATCTGGTTTCCATCCTGCTTTTTTTTTAAAGCCAGCAAATGCTGCTTCCGGGGGTGGGGTAGTAGAAATGTGATGTTTCCATGGCTTCTTTCATTTTCTCCCTATGGAGGAAGTTTCTGGAATGCTGCTGCTGCTGGCCCTGTCTTGCCTGTATCCAAGTCATAAACTTTAGAAGTCTGTGGTACAGAAGCCAGGGGAAAGAGGCAGCTGTGTCTCAGGGTTAAAGCCCGCACAATCTGCCTGCTTCCATGACGTCCACCAGACTTGCAGAGACGGTAGTCCATGTCTCCTCACCTGACAACAAGTGGGGACGGACCCTGGAGGCCACACTCATCTCCACATTTCCTGGCACCAGGAGCCCTTGCTTTCTGACACCCCTCCGTGCAAATTGTATCCTCCACCCAAAGGAAGCCACCTCTCCCCAGCAAACCAGCCCAGGGCTGTATGTTCAAGACAACTAAAGTCCGTCCGTCACAAGATAGTCCTGGTCTGGTGTCCATTCCCTGAGGCACGGGCCAGCAGTGGGGCCCCACAGAGAGCTTTCATGTCTTGAAAATCCCAAATCACCACCACAATTTAAGGGGTGTCCTCCACCCTGGGGAGGAAGACGACTATGTTGATATAACTTGAGAAAGGGTGTCTGAGGTGACTCCCCAGAAGCCTGGCTACTTTCCCTAATGAACTTCCTACTTCATGTATTCAAGAATTTTTTTTCCCCCGAGAGCCAGGCTCTGTTGCCTTCCTTGGGACACTGCTGGATGGACAGACAGTAGCCTCTGCTCTCCTGGAACTCAAGGAGAGAGACAATTACAAAATGCAAATGCTTGAGAAATGCTTGAGTATGCCAGATGGGGTGGGAGCTGTGGAGAAAAGCGAATCAAAGAAGGGAAGGGAAGTTGAGCAAGAAGCAAGAGATGCCGTGATCAAAGCTCAGTGGCCTCCTTTCCTCTTCGGGAAGGCTGGTCCCCAGGAATGGAGTGCTTGTAGCCATACTGTGGTGTCCGATGGACACTCACGTCTCCTAAACAAGGGATGGCATTCCCTATGGCCTTGACCCTTCCATGCCATGTTATGTAGAGCAGGCATACAAGAAAAAGGTCACTTCCCTACTCCAGCATTTGTTCTGTCATCAAGCCACCCATGTAAATTCAACGTGTCCCTATAGCTAGGGAGATGGCTCAGTCAGTAAATGCACTTGCTGCCAAGTCTGAGTTCAATTCCTGAGAATCACATGGTTCTCGGGACCAACTCCAGTAAGTTGTCCTCTGACTTCCTGCCACGTGCCATGGTGTGTACTTGAATGCACACACACAGAGACACAGAGAGAGAGAAAGAGAGAGAGAGAGAGAGAGAGAGAGAGAGAGAGATGAGCACAAGAAAAAGAATTTCAGCATGCCGCCCACATATGTGTAAGATACTCTTGGAGGGACAAATGGCCACCCTACAAAGTCTGAGTTTCTGCAAAACAAGGCTCTTCCTCAACATGTTACATTCATGACCAAAATCAAGCAGGGGGTATAAGCATCGTTGACAGGGGAAGTGAGAGGTAGCCTCCTATACCCGAGCTAAGTCCCCGGAAGCACCGGGAAGGAGAACATTTGAGGTGAAGGTCCTACAGCAGGGACAGGCATGCCACACTGCAGAGACAGGGAAGCAACAAAGGACACATGACTCTGAGAATGGGGAGCAGTGAAAGATGGGCTCAGGGGTAAAGCAGGTCAGCAGATCTGATTTCAACAAGGGCATTTGGGGACACCAATGGGACACACAGCATGGTCTTAAAAGGCCCCTCCATTATGGTTTGGCTGTGACTGTCCCCTACAGTCTCGGGTGTTTGAACACTTGGTGCCCACCTGATGGTCTTGTTCTGGAATGAATTGCAGAACCTTTGGGATGCAGGGCTTGGCTGGCTGATATGGGGATGGACCTGGCTGGAGCACTCTGCTTCTTGCCTGCTGCGGTGGGGGGAAGCTCTCCCAACCCCCACAGAATTGTCAAGTAGCGTGACTTCCCTTCCAGCAGGGGCTTTGCCCTCTGAACCAGAAGCCAAATCAAGCCTCTCCTCCTTTATGTTTATTCTGTCTTGGCAACGAGGAAAGCAACTAGCATGTGACCTTCGATGATCCCCAAGAAACATGCTCCAAGTCTGGTGGGACTATGCTCACTACACCCCAGCTGCTTGTGGCGAAGTAGCCACCCCTATATTCAGGATCCCTTGTGGTGCCAGATTTGGGGCATCAGTTAAGAAACCAGTTGGAGGGGCTCCTCATCTTTTAGATACACACAAGACTCGAATGCGCTTGCTGTTTCTGCCCATCCATGAGCAGAGTTATTGATTCTGTGGGAAATAGAACACAATTATTTTTGAAAATAGATGGCATATTTGTCTATCTTCTGCAGCAGCTCATACTCCAATAGATAAAGTGTCAGGAGAAAAATCAAAGAAAATGGAGGTGTCCATGACTCAGATAGATTTTTTTTTATATTGGCAATACACAAACAACTAGCAGGAAGGCTAAAAAGAACATTAAAAATGCTGAAGAACAAGTCAGAGATCTAAAAGATGGCCTCGGTGCAAGAAACTAGTGATGTAGGCAAGAGAGATGGCAGAGTGGTCCAGTGGCCATTTCTCTCTGTGTGGCTGAGAACGTCTCTAGGTTTCTCTTGAGGCAACACCATGGTGGGCTACCTAACCTCCACACCAGGCAGGAGGACATCTCTACCTGTCCAGCACCAAGATTGGGCCTGGAATTCATTCTGGGCCAGAGACCACTCTGTCTGGTCACTTGGGGAATCTTCTTACAATGGTTGGTCTATTTTTATTTTGCCACTGACCCCACGGAAAGTGTGGGGCCATCTGACCATGAACGAAATCCACAAGCCAGAGTAAAGGACTTCTTTCTTGAAACTGCTTTACTCTACCCGAGTGACACAGAGTGTTAGTGATTCCCACAGCTGTGGACCTGGGCCAGAAACCTCAGCTCTAAGTGGTATCCTCCAGATGCCCCGACACACCTTGATCTCTCTCACCTGTGTGTATCCTCAGGTGGACCTTGAGGTGATGGGAAGTCCGGAAAGTCTTCCCACAGTACGGGCAGTCCTTCATGGCCGAGCCCAGGTTTCTGTCCCGAAGCAGCGCCTGCTGCTGGACGCCAGCGGCTCTCCCGGCCTCCTCGCCGATGTCTGCAGCGGATGAGAAACATTCTCACATCACTTCAGCACATGTCAGAAGTTGTTCACACCAAAACTGCTAACACCACACAAAGTTAAACATGTCAATACTACACCTGTCTATTTCATTCTTTGAATCTGACAGAATGCTGACAATTCATGTATTTTCTTGTTATTCTCTTAAATTATTTCATCTTTCCTATCATCATTTTAAGCAGCATATGGTACCTTTATATTGAACTGAATTAAACAAGAGAAGAAACAGCTGTGTCAGCAGCTGGTTTGATTTCTTCTTTTTGCTTGGTTCCTATTAAATATTTTTTTTTTCTAAAAGTTTAAAAATGTGGGCACTGGTGGAATTCGATTAATTTGTAATATAGGCTAGCCGGAAGAGTTCACTCTAGGATCAAAATCACATTTTCAGCTTAGCCATTAACAACGGAAGGGAGGGGAGTGTCTCGGCTGACTCCCCGAGACAAGCAGACACACAGCTATTTTGGGACAGGAAAGAAAATTATCCCAAACCGATCCCTGCTTCCTTGTAGAGTTGTATCCATCCCTGACTGGTGGAACTGCATGAAAGGGAGAAGCAAAAGGATGGAAATGCAGTTCCACAATTAGCCCATGATAAACACGCAGTGACACATTCAAAGTCGTGTGCAGAAGCTCAGCTTCCAAACTCCCATAAACTCTGAGCGCTGCATTTAAATCTCCGTGCCGTGACTTGAGAAGTCCCTCCGTAAAGTATCAATACAAATTTTCCATTCTGCTGTTATTTGTTATGTAGCCCAAACCGTTAGAAAGTGGAATAAAATTTACATACGGCTGCCTTTTGCACAGAAATGATAGGACATAATAGAAATCAGACTGAAAATATCTAGTGTTTTGGGGTTTGGTATTACAGTACCCGGGCCTGGCATCATTGCCACAAAGGCCACATCTAGAGAGTGGGACAGACCTTGAGCTTCTGTGATTTTGAGAAGGGGAGGCAAGAGACCCTCTCTAAACTCACTTCTCCCCAAGTCTCTGGCCTCCCCTCAGGCTGTTCCACAGAGCAGAGGCTGAAGCCTAGCCCCCAGTCCCAAGCTCCTGAGGCTAGAAAGGCCCTGCCATGGCTTCCAGCCCACCCTCTAGGCCTTGTGGTAAATCCCACTATGAGAACAAGGGAACCTTCTGAGATAATGAGCAGATCTGTGAGTTCTGCTGAGCTGAGAATAAATAAGATTTGTACCTTCCAAGCGATGGAAAATGCAAATTGCTTTTATTCTGCAACATCCGTTGCTGGTGTTCTCTGCTAACGGCCGAAAGGGACAGACTTATAGACCATGAACGAGATGAAGGCAAACACACTTAATTCTTATTTGGATGTTGGCTCCCGGCAACTGTGAAAGCGCCCTGGCTTGGAACATCCTTTCTGCATTTGGACCATATGTGAGCAGATCACCACCCCAGAAAAGTACATTGAAGGCCTCCTTCTAATCCGATTCTCTCCAACTCTCTCTGTCACTGTTGGAAGACCCATTCGGAGTGTACAATTACTCGGAGGGCTTTTTTTTTTTCTGATTTTTACAAATGGGAGGATTAGGTTCATCCGTATCCAGAACTCTTACCCAAAGCCTGTCACCACACTGAACACCAGATTTATAGACATTCCAACAAACACAAGTAGTACCCAAAGGTGACTTATGGGTAAGGATGAAAAGCTCAGATAGTGTGGCAAATCTGGGTCACTCAGGCCTCACAGGATGTCTCCTGTGGGTCCTTCACGAACTGCAGGGTGAGTCTACCCAGGATTTTCCTTTTGCTATGGTGCAGAGGGAACCCGGGGCCCTGTGTATGCTAGGTAACAACACCCCGGCTCCCGCTTTCTCTTTTGTTGATTTAAAGATTTATTTTTTGTTTTTTGATTATATGTATGTGTGTGCCTGTACATACATGTGCGTAAAGGAACCCATAAAGATCAGAAGAGAGCTGGAGTGGGCTGCTGGACACGGGTGCTGGGAACCAAACTCAGTCCTATGCCAGAGCAGTATATCGTTTTATCTGCTGATCCACATCTCCAAATCTATTTTATTTGTTGTTACTCTTTCCCTTCCATTCTTCCTTTCTTTTTTTTTTCTTTCTCTTTCTTCCTTTGAGACAGAATTGCACCATGTGTGGCCTTGAACTCATAATCCTCCTTCCTCAGCCCTCTGAGTAAGGGAGGACAGGCCTGAACTGCTGCGTGCCCTCCACCAGAATTTCAACAGCTCAAATGTCACCTCCTGCACTCATCCCTGCACCTTCGCCTCCCCGAGTCCGTAACCTCTGCCCATCTGAAATCACCCAGGCTTCCTTTTCCTTGGACCTTCAGATCAGTTTAAGAAATGATGAGCTGGATTAAAACTTTGCCAAGTGCTAACTAGAGACAAAACAAGACACCTGATTTAGGTCTGGAGGCCAACGGCCACCTTTTAAAATTATAAGCAGGACTTGAAGGTCGGCCTGGAGTCGAGGAGGCACAGACCTCTGAAGGTAGATTCCCGCAAGCCCTCTTGTCCCATGGCTCACCCCAGCAGCCTCTTCCAGCAAGGTCCCATGTGTGAAAGACCAGCCTGGCCAGTCGTGGGATAAAAGCTGTGCACATGGTAAGGAAGGACCTATTTCTCCTGAAGCTTCTGGTGTGGACTTCCTCAGAATATTCTAGATAAATATGGAGAGAGCAACACAAGGCTCTTGAAGGCTTTACAGAAGTTGAGATGACCTGTGCCTCGCTATATGTCACTCTAAGTGATGGCCCGTATCTGTTTCTCTTTTATCTTTCTATCGTGGGTATGTGTGGTCCAATAAAAGGAATAAATTTCTAAGATAAACAGCTTTCTTTGCAGATTTAAGAGTTTAATTTTCACTTTACACAGAAACAGTTTTCTCTGGGAGGGCCAGCGGGGCTATGGCGTTTACTCTTAGACTAATCCTTCTAGAAAAACAAACTCTGAGCCACAATGAAGAGGAATGGTGGGTGGTCCCAGGAAGTGTCCGCAGAGGCGGGAAGCCAAGTGCAAGGAAGTCTGGGAATGCTCTGCAATCTCTGCCCAATGCACACACATGGGGCCTTGTGGAGAAATACAGTCCAAACTGGTACTGGGTTGGGTGCTAGGGAGCACATATACACTAAACTGCATTCAACCCCAAGAACCAAGATTTTAGAAGACACGTGGCTCCCCTCTGCTCAGAATATAGAAGCGCCCCTCTGCCTCACTGCTGGGTCCTGTCACTGCTCCTGCCAACCGCCCCCACCCCCAACATTGCATGAAGGGCAGCCAGAGTGTGGCTGTCGACCTCTGAAAGCTGTCACTCCAGAAGCATGACAAAATTGCCTCTGTGGTCATCTGTCAAATGGTTAGTGAGTTTTCAAATGGTTCACATTTAAAAATATATATATTTTTAAAATTACATGTATGTATTTATTTTGTAACGTGTATGTGCCCAAAGCATGCCTGTGATGGTTAGAGCACAATATCGATGAGGTAGTTTCTCCCTTCCACCTTGAGGGCCACTGGCATCAAGATCAGGCTGTCAGGCTCTGTGACAGGCACCTTGACCCAATTGTCATCTCGATGGCCCTCATCCTTTGTTTCCCTCTCCCCTAACTTCCAGAACTTCTTTTCCCTCCTATAAAACACTTTCTCCAAGACAACAAGAGGACAGGCTTGAATTTGCCACCTGGCCCTCCATAATTCCAGGAGGGAGAGCCCTGCCTGCTCCCTAACACAACAGCACATCCCTGTTCAGGGTGCATTCTGATGCCATGTGACCAAGAAACTGGTCTGTGAACTCTGTGGTCAGTCAACTTCAGCAGATCCCCGAGATGTCGCCTTTCTTCATGTCTTTGCCCACAAATACCAGGGCTTTCAGATCTTTCCTGAGGCAAAACAGAGAGCAACAACAACAAAACTAACACCTTGGAGTACGTCCAGAGGAATGCAGAGTTCCTCTTCAAAACTTAACACCTTCCTTTATGTTCAAAGCTTTAAAGTTAAAAAGCTCTAACAAAGCAATGATAACTCGGGCTGGAGTGATGACTCAGCTGTTAAGAGCACTTATTGCTCTTGCAAAGAACCTGAGTTCAGTTCCCAGCACCCACATCAGACAGCTCATGCCCACCTGTAACTCAAGCTCTAGGGGATCTAATGCCCTCTTCCGGCCTCCACAGACAACACACACACACACACACACACACACACACACACACACACACACACACATATGCACGCTCTCACACACACGCACATGGCTTACATTCACACAAACACTCTTATAAATTAAATAAAATCTAAAATATTAAGCAGTGATCATGTAGTAAAGAGCCTAAGGAAGGAAAGTGAGCTTTCTATTTCTGAAAAAATTTAAAAAAATGAATGTATGCAACACAGGTGCTATCATGACTGTAAGTGTTCCCACAGAGCTCCTGAAACACAGGACTCTTGCAATGGGTCAGAATTAACTTGCTTCTCTAATGTTTTATTAAAGATTACTGATGGCCATATATAGTCATGTTCAACAGCTAAGCAAAATATGGATGGGTAAAAACATGTGCTTAAATGAAAAGTTTAGTGCTTTATGTTTTATTTATTTATTTTACCAACATCTAGCTTCCTATTGGGTTATCGGGTCTGGGACGAACGGTGGGCCCTCTCCACACCAGCAATCCTCCCCATGGCTCCACCACCAACCTAAACTCAGACTGAGCACAACTCAATCTGATGCTGGCTGGCAAAGTAGGGCTTCTGGAATTAGTGAAATAGGTCATTAAAAGACCCCCCCCTCCCCGATTTAAGAAAAAAAAAATACCAGATACTAGGATTTCAAATCACTTCTCTAATGCAACATTCTGATGAATTCAGTGAAAATGAATGAGCAACAGATGGATTACATTTTCCTTAAGATACACTTGGGTTTTGCATAAGCGCTGTGGGCCAGGCGTGTTTCTGCTTTTACCTAGCCCACAGTTCTTTCTTAGTGGTCAGAGAGGG